AATGAGGGGACATGTCATTTCTGGGACCCTAACCCATAACTATTGCTTCTAAGATCACAGGAGCATAAATTGAGAGCTGGAAAGGACTTGAAAGTACATTTCATCCAACTTCCTCACTTTATAAATAAAGAAACTCATCAAGTGATTTGCCCAAAGTCTCACAGCTAGAAAATGACTGAGCTGAAATTCAAATTCAGGTCCCGTAATTCTAAGGTCAGACCTTTTTCCTCTGCCCCATGACCCTCAACCAGTGCTTTTTCCACAAACCCAAACAATATCCCTCTTTCTCCCCAATATTCCTGGGTGACCTCCCTCCATGTGTGGAGCCTGCCTGTGGTTACCCTCTTTTCTTTCCTAAGCCCCTGGAAAAGGACAGCAAGGCAGTGCTTGTTAAATATATTATATTTATATAAGGCAGTGGTTGTTAGCCAGGGAGTCTGGAATAAGGTCCAGGATTGGCAGCTACTCACACAAAGGTCCAATGGAAGGTCATAGGCTAAGCATTGGAAAAAGTCAGTGATTCAGAGCCTGAGGTTCAGAGCTGCTAGGAGGAGACATCCTGAGGCTCCACTCACCACAAATCCCTCTGAAGTACCTGTCTGCCATCTCTCTCCTTTCTTTTTTGAGGAGTCAGATAGGAGAGGAACTGATCCTGCACACAGCAAATATCTCACAAAAAAGGGAATTGGCTTTCCTTTATTCTTGGACCCAGAGCTGAGGAAATGCTTCATTAGGCAGAAATGGTGGCTGGCTGGCTTTCTGTTCAAGTAATTGGAAGTATAAAAGAAAAGAGAAAGAATCAGAGGGATGGAAGAAGCCAGAGAGGTAAGTGGGACTAGCCAATGGAACAGGCCATGATTGTGGTGCTATTGAGGAAGGAACGCTGGATTTAAAGTTGGGAGAGCTAGGTATGGCTCAAGGCTCTATTATTTATGACCTGCCTAGGTGTGTTTGGTAGGTGGTTTCTGCTTTTTCAGCCTAAGGTTCTTCTCCTGTAAAATGAGAGTACTAGCCTGAATTGGGTGTTCTTAACCCTTTTTTGTATCCTGGATCTCCTTGCAGTCTGGCAAAGCCTATGAGCCCCTTCTCAGAATAATGGCTTTAAATGCATAAACAAAAATATGTGGAATTAAAAGGAAGCCAATTATATGAAATAGAGTTGTCAAAATATTAGAAAGAACAAGTTATCTGTGAGAGCCTCTTGACTAAATGACCTTCCAGATACTTCCTAGTCCTGGAATTCTGGGTGTTAAGGTTCCTTCTAGCTCTAATGATACTAGGATGAGAGGACATGACTAGAGGGGTAATGGCTAGGACACTGCTGGGACACCATACACTCAGGACCTAATGAAGCCCGAATAGGAAGCAGCATGGTGTATGGAGTCAGAGGATCTGGGTTCAAATCCTAGTTCTGTCCTTTATTTCTTCTGTGACATTGTGCAAATCTTTTCTCTCTGGGTCTCAGTTTAGTCATCTATAAAATGAAGAGAATGGACCAGATGGCCCCTAAGAATCCTCTGACCTCTAAAACTGTGATGTTGCTTGGGTTGGGTTGGGCCTCCTTAGCTAAGTAAATTTAGGCTTCTGAAGTGCTGCATTCTGTGGTGAGCCCCTAGCTGGTGTTCATCTCCTTCAATGGGGATGGGGGTAGCATTTTCCTGGAAGAATGGAAGTTTTTTTGAAAAACAAAACAAAATAAAACAAAAATGTTATCCTTACCTTTCCAACTTACAGTATGGTCATTACCACATATATTACTGAATTACAGAGTCATGGAGTTTCAGAGTTGGAAAGGACCTCAGCAGCCATATGGATAAACCCATACTTGAAAGGAATCTCATTATAACCAGCACCTCTCCAGTCAATCCATGCCACTTTGAGACAGCACTGATTGTTAGAAGGTTTTTCCTGACAGCCAGCCTAAATTGCCCTCTTTGCCTCTATTTTCCAGGCTTTGACCCTGGTTCTGATCCCTGGGGCCACACAATACGTGTCTCAGGTCCTCTTCCACATGGTAGCCCTTCAGACATCATGTCCCCTCCCTACTCCCCCCTTCCCACCCTAAGCTAAACATCCCCAGATCCTTCAACCCATTCACATATGGCATGGTCTCAAGGCCCTTTACCCTCTTGATAGCCCTCCTGTGGGTATTCTCCATTTTATCAATGTCCTTCCTCAATGATGATGCCTAGAATGGAGCACCATGGTCTGATCATGATTGCAACATTATTGCTTCCTTATTCCTGGAAACTCTGTCTCTCTTCTTAATGTGGCCCAAGATCACATTAGCCTTTTTTGACTGAGATTGTAATTGAGATTGTAATCCATTCAGGCTCCCAGATCTTTTTCCTGAAAAGAAACCGTCTAACCATTGCCTTCACCATCCTGGTTTTTTTTTTTTTTTTTTTTTGCAACATCATTCTTTTGGTCCAACTAGAAGATTTCACATTTATCTCTATTAGAATTAAATTCCATCTTATTCATTTCAGTCCAATGCTCTGGGCTTGCCCAGATCTTGCCCCTCTCATTCCATGTGCTTGCCGTTCCTCTTGGTATCATCAGCCAATCTGCTAAGAATCAAACTCAGACTCTAAAAGGCTGAGGTCTGGAAGGGGAGGGTTCTGTTGGGGGTGAAACTCTAACCAAAGCTGAGGAGGAAACCACTGTCTTTCAGGACAAGGTTGGCTTTACGTGACAGTATCTGTCTCTAGGGTATGTTTTGGGGTGTTCACCTACCCCTAAATCCTTAAACTCACCCATTATGTTGCCTAAAATATTACCGTTAGAGAACCAAAGAATTGTGTTCTTTATTGCTATGGCAACACCGTATGGATTATCCTCAAAGCAATGCTTCATTGTTGGCCTCAGTTTCTTCATCAGTAAGATGGGAAAAATTATACTTTCACTCTCTACATCGCTGGCTATTGAGGATTTATGGATGGAAGAGACCTTAGTGACCATAGGATCACAGGACCAGAGGCTCAGAGCTGGAAGTAACTTCAACAGTCATGAAGATAACGAAACCGAGGCTCAGAGATATTAAGGGACTTGTCTAAGTCACAAAGGCAGAGCTATTATTTGAATGGAGATCCTTTAATTTCAGATCTTGTCTTTGAGATCAACTAGTGACAGCCACTCATTTTACAGATGGGAAAACTGAGGTCCAGAGACAGGAAAGTGACTTGCCCAAAGTCACATAACTGGTATCTGCTTGAGTCTGAACCCATTTTCTCTGCCTCAAAGTCTAGTGCTCCCTCTCCTACAACAATCTGTGAGCAACTGCTTCCTAAGTCTTAATGCTCTATAGAAATGTGATCTCTTGTTCTGATGAGCTGATTAACGTCTTAGAGGAAATGAATTTATCAGGCTCATTTCAAAAGCTACCTCCTCCTGAAAGCCCTCCTTGCTCCCAACTGGCAGCTCTCTCTCCTTCTTCTGAGCATTCCCCAAAGAATCATGTTAGTACTTATCCTATGGTACAGGGTATATACTGTCTTGTATTGAGGCAGGTAGATTTCAAAGTAGGTAGAGCGCTGGACCTAGACTCGGGAAAGCTTGAGTTCAAATATGGCCTCAGATACTTATTAGTTAGGGCACCCTGGGCAAGACTAACTTAGTTTTCTCTCCTATAAAATGGGGATGATAAAAACACCTATCTCCCACAGTTGTGAGGATCAAATATTACACATATATAATACATATTATATACACACACATATAAGTATGTTCATACATGCCCACACGCATGGGCATGTGTACATATACACACATGTATCCATAAATAGATTACTTTGCAGGCTTACAAAGGGCAGTGACCATGTCTAACTCATCTTCAAATCTCTGCCTCCAATTACTCATTACTCCTTCCCTCGAATTTGCTGCCTGTCACAGGGCTTTGGTTAAAGCCTTAATAAAAGCTTGTTGATTTGAATTGCTGAATTGAATTCCATTAATTAGAATCTTCCTCAGGCCACAGCTAACTAAGAATAAGTGTGGGGTCAGGTGTTTGTGTGTGTGTTTGTGTATGTGTGAAGGGTCACAGGAAAAGGGGTAGATGCTGTTTCCTTCTAGTTGAGGCAAAATGCCCTGTGTCAGGACTAGATCTTGACCTTTTTGAGGATATATCCCCTACCTTAGAATATTTCTGTTCTACTCCCAGAGGCTTCCTGAAAACCAAGAAAAATCATAAAATATCAGAGCTGGGAAGGACCTTAGAACATACAATGCCAGAGTTAGAAGATACCTTAGAACGCAGAAAGTCAGAGCTTGGAGGTCCCTTAGAGTACAGAGTGTCAGAGCTGGGAGGGCCCTTTGGACACAGAATGTTAGAGCTGGGAGAGCCCTTAGAACACAGACTATCAGAGCTGGGAGGGCCCTTAGAACACAGAATGTCAGAGCTGGGAAGGACCTTAGAACACAGGATGTCAGAGCTGGGAGTACTCTTAGAATACAGAATGTCAGAGCTGGGAGGGACCTTAGAAAACAGGATGTCAGAGCTAGGAGGGTTCTTAGAATACAGACTGTCAGAGCTAGAGGGAGGATTTGGAGGTATCTAGTACAATCCACTCATTTCCCATATGAGGAAGGAGAGCCTGAGAGCTCAGGAAGGACTTGTCCAAATGCTTACAGTGAGTAAGGTCCCCCTCCTCTGATCCTCCCTACCTTCACTCTTCTCTCTGAGAGACCAAGTGCTCTAGTACTTGTCCTAGAAGAAACCCTTGGGTCACCTCCAGTGTTCTTGGCTTTGTTTTAGAAAATAAGGATCTGCCCTAGGCTCAGTAGAGCTGCCTTCAGCGTTCCCAGCCTGGCTCAGCAGAACTGGCTCTAGACTCCGTGATCCTGATCTCACTTTCGTATTTCTGCATTTTCTTGCCTCAGATCTTTCCCACCATGTTCATGACCCTACCCTGGTAATCTGATCTTTACTCCACTCTCTATCCCCCTGCACTGTGTCTCAAATCTGAAAGGTCTGAGAGCCCTGTTCCCGGACATGGCCTTACCAAGTGTGACCTCAGCCTGCATGGGCATGGAGAGAGCCGGGTGCTTGACCTCACAGCTGAAGAGGGCCTCATTGTCCACCTGAGGGTTGAGGGTCCAGGTGAGCAGGGCACGCACCTCCACAGTGCCGTCACTGCCCGGGGCGCGGCTATGACGCAGGAAATAGACAGGCTCTGCACTGTGGACCCAGCGGGGGAACTCCCGGCTCACCACAGTCTCCGGGATGTTCTCAGTTGTAGGTTGGAGGATGAGGCTTGGGTCTGGGGTCAGGCCCCGGGAGGGCCCCTCAGTGTAGGGATGCCCACCCCTGCCCTCGGCATCCAGCAGGGAGAGGGATTTCTGCATCTTAGTATCATCCAGGTCACGGTGCAGCAGGCTACGAAATGCCCGGCCATCCTGGAGGGCGGCTGTCCCCACTGCGGGTTCTGACAGGGACACAGCTTCTATGGGCTCTCCATCTCGCTTGAAGTAAACCTGAAATAGGAGGGAAAAGGGGTGAACTCTTGTTTACCTCTAGCCGTTGGCTCTGAATGATGCTGCTCAAGACTTCCCCATTCCAAGAAGCCTCCTGAGAATGCCCTTGTCCATCCTATTCCCTCCACGCAGACTCCTACCCTTGTATGTGTCCATATATATCTTCAACTCTTAATTTTCCACTTTTGGGGCATTTATTGTCTGACTTCTCTGTGGCAAAGGTACCATCCTAAGCTACCTTCTCCACCATAATCAGTAACCTCGAGTATCATCTGTTTTCTCTGCTCCAAACAAATCACCAGGCCAAAGGTCAACCCAAATGATATTTGGATTCATTGCTGTTTTGGGTTATTCATGCTCTTGTTTCCCAGTCTTGGCCCAGAAGAGGAAGCTAGAGTTTTATCCTGTAAATAAGTTGTAGAAAAAATACACAGAACTCATATTTTTGTATATCAAATACTATCTTGAATGCACTGGGGGTGGGGAGTGTGTGACTAATTAAAGGACTCCCAGAGTGAGTCTGTTTCTAATGGGAGGAACTGTCTTCCAATTCATCTGTTGCATAAAACCTGCTTTTCCTATCTGGAGGTTGTTTAATGGGAGGTGTACAATTATAGCTACAGATGAATCATTTTTAAATGTCTCTTTGGGTTGGGTATTTCTCTTGCTTCCTCCTTTAGGCCGGGAGCTGTCTAAGGGGTGGGCGCCATGTCTCTCTAGTAGCAACCTCAGTCTAGGGTCTGTGACATCTCCATCAAGCTGGGGGCCCCATCTCTGAGGTCAGGGGCTGTGTCTTGCCTATTAAGTGTGGAGCTTTCTGAAGGCAGGGACTCTTTCTTTCTTGGAGCTGGGGGGCTGGCTCCCCGAGGGCAGGAACTGCAGCTTCCCCATCAGAATGGAAGCTCCCTGAGGGTAGGAACTCAAGAGTTATAGGACCTGGGTTTAAATCTCACTTCAGAAGTGTACTACTTGTGTGACCTTCCATGGTTTTCAGGTTCTTCATCTATAAAAAGAGGTTAGACTAGCTGACTTCTGAGGCCCTTTCCAGTTCTAAATCCAGGCTTTCTTATGACCCCCATGATCCTTATAACTCTCCTTCATCAAGTTGGAAGCTGGCTTCCCGGGACTAGAAACCAACTGTGTCTTCCCTATTAGACTGGGTATTTCCCGGACGCAGGGACTAACAGATGAGGGTGCTTTCTGGAGGCACGGATCATGCATTCTTCCAAAGGAGGCTTTGCCTCATAGTGCCTGGCCTAGGACCCTGGATATAGCCAAAGCCCCCTGCATCGGAGGTGACCCTCACTTGAACACCTTGATGGCTTCTTGGCAAGGGACTTGATTTTTAAACAGGGGAATGGGAGCCATTGAGAAGGTAAATATGGAGGGGAAATGAGGAGGATATTGGAAGAAGAAATGGGAGAAAATTGTGTGTGTGTGTGTGTGTGTGTGTGTGTGTAGGTGTGTGTGTGTGGGGGGGGGTGTGTGTGTGTGTGTGCCTAAAGTCTGAACAGGTGTGCTTGTGTGGTAGGGAGATAGGTGTGCAGCTCTGGAGAGAGAAAATTGTCCTCTAGTTTTCTCTTCTAATGGGGGATTCAAGTTTTGAGCTGCGGAATTTAATTCAATTTGTTGTTTTTATATTTTGGTACATGCGCTCAGAGGCCTGTGGGAAACTGGTGTCTCTATAATAAATCGAATAAATAAATCGATGGGAAGGAGGGGGGTGGTGTACATGTGGGAAGCATCTCTGAGGGAAGCTGGGTCCCAGGAGAGGGAAGGTAGGAGAGGAAAGAGAGGAAGAAAGAGAGAAGGAGACAATGGGAATGAGAGAAGGCAGAATTAGAGAGGGGGAGGTGTCTGTGTGTGTGTTGCTGGGGGTGGGGTGGAATCAAATACAGGAGAGGCCAATCTGTCAGGGTTTAAAGCCTCCAAAAATGAATGTCGTTTCCACATAAAGGGCTGCTTTGGGTTTTTTGAAAAGTGCTTCAAAAGCCGGATTGTAATTTATATCAAAGGATTCCTCTGAGCTTCCAACATCCCAGGCAGATGCAAGGAGGTGGCAGAATATGGGGGGCTGAGAAACATTTTTTTTAAAAGGGGGAATATCTGATTGTGTGAAACCTTAGAGGCCTGGCCTGCTGAAAGGTTTCAAGGGCCCTGAGGCACTGTTGGCAGCAGCAGTGGGAATGAGGCGGGGAGGGAGGACATCAGACATGAGCCAGCGGCATCCTGTAGGGCACCTACCAGGACACCCCCAGAGGGCAGCAGGCATCTTCTGCCAGCCCTTTGTCACCATCTGCTGATGTTAGGGGTTGGAGGGTGGTGGTGGGGGAAATAGGAGGAATAGAGTGGGGGGAGTGGGAGTTGGGGCTCCTTTTGTACCCCAGTCTTCTCTGGGGTCTAGGAGCTCCCACAGACCTTTTATCCGGTTCTTTCTATTGTATCTGGGGAGGGAATGTGGGTTTCTGGGGGAGTTGATGCAGGGTCCCATAGAACTTTAAATCAAGGGGTGCTTGTGCTTCCTGTGACAAAGCCCACAGGCCAGATCCTTTGGGAATTACCAGAGGATTAAGAGATGGATAAGACCTTAGAGTCTATCTCTTCTGGGGCACCCAAAGGGGGTGTGACTTGCCCAAGCTTCCAAAGGTAATAAATAGTACACTGTGGAATTTAAAGGCAGGTCGTAGGCTCATAGCTCTAGAACTGGAAAGGGCCTTGGAAGCAATTTAATCCAACCTCCTGATTTTACAGACGAAGACTCAGGTCTGAGGAAATGACCTAAAGTCACTTAGGAAGCAAATATCAGAGAGAGGCCTTGAATCCAGGGCATGGTTCCAAATCCAGTGCCCTTTCCATAATACCTTACTGTTTTTAACTCTGTAGCCAGAGGAAAAGAAGCACAGGGAGAAAGTTCCGAGTCAAATTTCTTCCTGTCTCCTGCCTGCCTCTCTACTCTGTCTTCTTCTCCCAAATCACCCCAGATGAGCCCCTTTCAACCACCCACTCTGCCAACCACACTCAAATTGTCCCTTAAAATAGCCATGACAATGAGTATTTGGAAAAATTGTCAAGGCTTCAAGGATATTAGGGTGACCCTAAAAGAAATCAGTTAGATTATAATTACTTTCCCTCTTCTTTTCTTTTTTTCTTTTTTCAAATTTTTTTTTCTGAGCCTCAGGATCTGGACAGAGTCTGTGTTCTTTTAGCCCTGGGAGACCGCATGAGAAGGAAGCTGGGAGGGCTAGAGGGAAGGATGGCTCAGGACAGTGGGCAGGTAGGACCAAAATATATCTCGGATGGCTCATCAAACCAGAGGCTCAAGAATTGGAAAGGATTTTAGAAATGATCCCATCTTACTCTTTTGTTCTGTTGATTAGGAAACCGAGCGTCAAAGAGGGTAGGCGATTTTTCCAAGGTCATACAGGTAGGGAATAACAGAGCTGTCCTTCAGACTCAGTAACTTAGACTCTGATTTCAGCCTGGTTGGCATCCAGGTTGTCCTTCTTGGTCCATCCCCATCTCCCATTTGAACCTTCATTTGCAATGCCCAGGGATTGGGATGCCCATATATGAGCAGACCAAAGGAGAGAAAGGTGGGGTGCTGGGGCCCTTGGGATACTCACCACAGGGGCCGGCTTCCCTCCTGACACAATGCAGACCAGGGTGAAGTTCTGAGCCTGGTAGCGGCTAAATGGGGCAGGTGTGTCAGCAGCCACGACAGCGATGGAAGTGGGAGGAGCTGGCAGGGAGGCAGATGCAGGTAGATGTTTAGAGAGAGCTTATGCCAATTTCAGGAGCTTCTATTTCACCCCTGGACAGTCACTGAGTCAGCCTTCCCTGTTCAATTCCCACCCAGAGCCCCACCAGAAAGCCTTCTGGGAGAGTCAGTAAGGAGCGTCCCACCCAAGGTTCATGTAACACTTTACTTTTTACCTCCTCCGTGAACTTGCTATGTGATGTTAAATGTTCTAGGATCTTGGGACTGGACCTTGGAGAGGTCCATAGTCATCTATGGGATCATAGTGTAACCAGGCTCCAGAGAGTGGCTGCATAGACTTAGGGGAATTGGAGCCCAAAGGGACCTTATGGTTTCTCCTCATTTGGAGGTGAGGTGGGAAATCTCTCTCATCACCCAGAGCTTGTAATCCTTTCCCTCCGTGCAGGAGGAATCCATATTGTCCCTTTGGGCTACAATTCCCCTAAGTCTATGCAGCTACCCTCTGGAAACTTGTGCCAATAGGAGGATTACAGATTTAGAGCAGGGCAGCTAGGTGACATAGTGGATAGAGTACCAGGCCTGGAAGTCAGGAAGGCCTGAGTGCAAATCCTGTCTCAGACACTTCTTAGCTGTGTGACCCTGGGCAAGTCACTTAACCTTGTTTACCTCAGTTTCCTCACCTATAAAATGAGCTGGAAAAGGAAATGATAAACTATTGCAGTATCTCTGCTAAGAAAATTCAAAAAGGGTCACAGAGAGTCAGACAAAACTGAAATGACTGAATAATATTTAGGGCGAGGACCTCAGCAGTCCCCTTGTTTCACAGACGAGACACCTGAAGCTGAAAGAGGTTAAATAGCTTGCCCTAGGTCACAGGTTGTAAATGACACAGGTAGGATCTGAACCCAGGTCCTCAGACTCCAAAGTCGGTCCTCTTCCCTCTGTATTGTCCTGCCTTAAATCCATGTTTATTTCCTATCTCCCTACTAAGACAGGGAGCAGTTTAATCCAACTCTATTTTTAAAAGGAAGCACAGGGCTCCATAAAGGAAGTACATGCCTATGGGAAAAAAATTTGTTGAGTGAGTCATCAAATAGTCAATATTAAATAAACATTGATTAAGCAGAGAATTCTGTGCTCCAATCCTATGACTTTATTTTCAACAAGCATTTTTGCAACTTCTACCCATTACTCCCGATTCTACCATTGGCCCAAGGAAAACAAGGTTAATCCTTTATCCTCATGGATAGTTGCCCAGATAATTGAAAAGATCTATCATCTTTCTCCTCTCATGCCCCTTCCAGTCTTCTCTAAACTCAACACCCCCGGTTCATTTGGTGGGTCCTCATGTGGGCTGTAACTGAGAACTTCTGTATCTTCTGTTTGCTCAACTATAAACAAACAAAGGGAAGGATGGGCCAGGTGGGCTTAGGTGGCTTGAAGTCCCTTCTAGCTCTAAATTATGACCCTGTGATCCCTTTGCCATCTTGGTTGATCATGTCAATGTGATGATGACAATGGAAATAGGAGGCGATACCTGGGAGACAAATGGGGGGAGGGGCCCAGAGCCAGGAGGCCTTAGATTCCCCAACCAATGGAGAATTCTCCTTCACTTGTTGAAATCCTACTTGATTCAAGCCTGAATTTAGGTGTAGATCCTGGTAATATAGAGAAAGACCCATTGAGTGGGTGGTAGGTGTCCATTCCACTGCAGGCCAGTGATGATAACAATGACAATGATGGTGATGATGATGACGATGGTGATGACGGTGAAACTAGCTAGCAATTCTATAACAATTTAAGGTCTACAAAATACTTTATATATTATATCACTTCATCCCCATTACACCTCTTTGAGGAAAGTCATTATCATCTTCATTTTAGAGATCAGGAAACTGAGGCCAAGAGAAGGCAGAATAAATGACTTGCCCAGGGGACTATAGCATAGTCCCTTTTTGGCCATGTCCAAAAGCTGCCAGTATCAGTAAAAGAGGTATTTTTATCCCTATTCCTTCCCTGGGATATCCTTAACCCCAAATGGAGAGAAATGAAACTCATGGCCTTTCCAAACTGGGATAAAAGGGGCTGGAGTCTTAGCAGCCCAACTGTGAAAGGTTGCCAATGACTAGCCTTATTAGGGGAGACAGAAAATCCCACATGGGAGCTCTAGCTTGGCTTACATCTTTCTCTAGTTGAGGGGAAAGTCTTATGTTACAGTGTCTTGGTGTGACAGGAATTCTGAGAAGGGACAGATAACTCTATGTGATGAGTCACACTTTACTTATCTTTGGATCCCTTCCCTGGTGATTTTGCCTATCAGGAGGGAATATAGCCAAGAATGTAGCATAAAGCAAAAAAAAAAAAGCCTCTAAGAAGACAAAGCAAATACAATGAAATTCAGACAATAAAGTTCATGCATTTTAGAGTCACTTAATAAACATTAAGTGCCTATTGTGTGTCAGGCACTGGGCTAAGGGCTAAGAATGCAAAGGAAGGCAAAAGACAAGTCCCTGCTCTCAAGGAGCTCACAGTCTAATGAGGGACAGCACATGAATGAATAAAGCATTTAAATGCCTACTGTGTGCTAGGCACTGTGCTAAGAGATGGGGATATAAAGAAAGGTGAAGGACAATCCCTTCCCTCAAAGAGTTTATAATCTAATGGGGGAAGGCAGCACATAAAAAAAAGATGAAAAGGGGAGGGAGGAAGGGGAGGGAAGAGTTCCTGGGTGGGTGGGGGCATGATGAACTCCTGCAGCCAGGTGGGAAATGATGAGGTGTCTGCCCTGGTCACCCTTCTTAAATGGAGGATCTGGGAGGGGCTTTCTGGTGTCTACTCTCCACCCTCTCCAATCTGAGGGAGGGAGGGAGCCCCAGGAGCAAGGAGGTGCTGAGAAAGTGGGAGTCTCAGAGTTGGTTTGATCTTGCAAGAAGATGAGTTTGCATAATGCGGGTGCCCTTCTAGCCTTCACTCCAGGTTTTTCTACTTTTAGTCTACACACAATTCTAACAAGCTTGCAGGCCGCCATGGATAGAGATCGTGGATAAAGAATAGAGCCAGGAGGATCTGGGTTTAAGTTCCGCGGCTGACACATACTGACTGCGTGGCCCTGGGTAAGTTATTTAACCTCTCAGCACTCTCAGGAAACTCCCTAAGACTCTAACTTTCAGAGAAGGTGCCAATCTGGTGTCTGCGGGCTGAGAACAACTGGAACAGGAAGTGATAACTGGAAGACAGATGCAGGCTCAGAGTGAGTCCCAGCAATTCCAGGAGGCTTCAGATTCCCCCACCACTGGAGAGCCATTGGCTCTCCCTTAGGTGTATTGAGTTCCTGCTTAACTAAAGCCTGGGACTAGACACAGACCTGGCTATTCAGAGTCCACTTTAACTCATCTCTTCACATGGGGATTCCCTAAACTGGTGATGTCATGGGTCCAGGCCTTCAACAAGAGTATTTGTCTGCCAGCTCCATTGATAGCGGGTCATAAGCAAAATATGGCGGTGATGAGGGTGGCAGGGAACAGGGCATCAGGATCTAGTGAAACAGGGCTTCTGAGACCTCAAAGTAGACATGGTGAAACCCAGGTATGGAGCTCAAGCCTTTATTCAGTAGGGGAGCCCTTACCCTCACCTCAATACTACTGGAAGGGTTGGTGGGAGCAGCTCACTCATAAAGCCACATTTGGACTCAGGTCTTCCTGACTCCGTGGCACAGTGGATAGATCACCGGGCTGGGAATCAGGGAGACTCATCTTCCTGAGTTCAAATCCAGTATCTGATATTCACTAGCTGTGTGACCCTGGGCAAGTCACTTCACCCTGTTTGCCTCAGTTTCTTCATCTCTAAAATGAGCTGGAGTGCATCTTTGCCAAGAAAACCCTAAATGGGACATGAAGAGTCCGTCACGACTGAACAACTTCCTGACTCCAGGTGCGCTATGGTATCACCGAGCTGCTTCTTTGAGCCTCAGTTTTCTCATCTGTTAAATGGGGGACAATAACGCCCACGGCGCCCGTCTCACAGGGCTCTTCTGAAATGCAAATGAGGTAGGGAGAAGACTTCTCGGCTATTATCAAGCTCCAATTTCTCTTCCCGCTCCCGACGACGTTCCGATGTCCTTTTCAGCTCTAAAAGTCTTCGAGACTGCAACATATGTTCCTTCATTTCCCTGTACATCTATATGACCATATCTATGTACCTACATACGTAAATCCACATTTGGGCCATCAGTAGCCTGGTCACGCACGCCACCCACGCGGACCCTGATCAGGAGCTGTTCCTGTCTCTTGTTAGATTTCCTAGCAGGTGTTAGCAATATGTACAGTTAATCAAGCCCGTCAGACAATAAGTGTTTTCAATTGTATAGACTGTGACACAATCCCTGCGCGGCTCGGCTCCCTCCTCCTCCCCACCCCCATTCCTCCTCCCTTTCCACGGAATTTAAATCTGAGACTCGAAGCATCTCAGACGACTCACTGTCGCTTTAGCATTTGCCCACTGTCTCTCAGCTAGACGGCTCCAAGCAGATGCGATCTGGAATCGGGCCCCAGCTAAAGAGGCTGCGAACGCCCCAGAGAATTACATCCCTTAACTTCTGTTAACTTCTTGTCACATATCCTCGTCTTCTGAGAGTTATAGAATGTCAGAGCTTTGAGGGCCCTTAGAATGCAGAATGTGAGAGCTGGGAGGGCTCATAAAAAACAGAATGGTAGAGTTGGGGGGGTTACCTTAGAATACACAGTGGTAGAGTTGGGGAGTTACCTTAGAGCACAGAATGTCAGAGCTGGGAGAGCCTTAGAACACAGAATATCAGAGCTGGGGGGGTGCCTTAGAACCCAGAATGTCAGAGCTGGGGGCGGGGTGCCGTAGAACCCAGAATGTCAGCTGGGAGGGCGCTTAGAACACTGAATCTCTGAGTAGGGAGGGCTTTAGAACAGAGAATGTCAGAGTAGGAAGGAATCTTAGAATAGAGAATTTCAGAGCTGGGAGGGTCTTTAGAACAGAGTTATTAGGATAGGAAG